ACAAAATACAGTCCACTCTATCTAGAAGGTATTTTATTTAATTATTAATTAATAAAGTAAACCCCTTTCGAATTAAGAGTTTAGCCTTCATTAATGGATAAAAAAATTTGAAAATAACATGGGAAGTGAGTTGGGTGTGGGACGGTGCATTTTGATTTTTGACACTAAAATCTGAATTTGCGCAAAGAAAAGAATGCCGAATGCCGACGACTTCTGAAATATGGGTTAACGGGATCCACGTGAATTAATGCTCTCAGAACAAATCTTGGCGGGATTAATCCACTTTAGAGTTTGGACTTTGGACTCCTACTCTCATGATGTCTGTAATCAAACATCAATATATTTATGCAACAGGCTTTCGGGTGTAAGTGATTTATCTTTAAATTTTAAGACATTTAAGTTAATTAATTGTGATTTTAATCTTTACTATCACTTTGGAAAATGTTCTTCTCTTAATCTCTCAAATTGTAAACTTTTCAAAAAAAAAAAAAAAACATCAATATGTTCCTTCCTAAAAAAAAAGAACACCAATATGTTCCTATGAAAAAAAAATGCAATATGCAGGACGGAAAAACAGAAAATTTGGTAAATACTTTTTTTGGAAATAATTTTTTCTTGAGGTATTTTTTCTCTGGGAAATAAAAATTATTTGAGAAATCTTTTTCAATGTCAATTATTTTTTGAAAATAATTTTTTTTATACTGAATCACTGAAATTTCATTAAATAAAGAAAGCTTGTAAGCCTAATTAATCTTTAAAATAAAGATAGACTGAGATGAAATTTATAACATTAGACAATAAGAAATATGCCCACCATAAATCTAAGGAAAATAACTAGTAATATTTGATTTAACACACTTTTTAATATTTGTGTCAACTCAATTATTTTTATATTTTATGTGTATGATTATATTTTTAAATTTATTTGTATTTAATTATATATAAAAAAATAATGATTTTTTAAAAAACATATTATATAGTATGTTAAATTATAGTGTATATTGATCAATATACTCTATAAATTTAAATAATTAAGTGTAAAAATTTTTAAAAAATCATTAATTGATAGTGAATGGTGTTAATAGGCAACTGCCATAGGGATACAAAAAGGACTACTCAGAAAACCGTAGTAAGATTGAGCATGCTTAACCAACAAAATT